CTAGCGGGACCTTATGAACAGTGGACCTTATGAATAGCGAACCTTATGCATCGCGTGGACCCCAGAGAATGATCAGACTTAAAAGCAAACTGGCGATCATTAGCAACTAAAGAATCTTTACAACAATTGTTTAAAATACACTCAAACAATATAAAATTAGCGTCCAAAAAGACTATAGGAAACCATAGTGATTCAATATTTCGTTTTTATTCGAACATATTCATCAGGAATATGAAAAAAATCTCGCATTCCCGTATTTCGGTAGACACCTGTCACGCCAAAATTCGTCCGGGCCAAAAAATGTGACACAAGACTGATTTATTAGTTTTAAATATTCCGTATTATTGTGTGGGGTATTGGGTCATACAATAGATGTTCTAATACATGAAATAATCATTCTCAGAATTGAATGCATGTACTCCGTCGCGGAGCACACACAACCAAACAAAACAAGGTAAAAAATGAACTACAGCGGACCAACACGATTTAAGACCACATCGTTTAACTTCTGTTCGTACTTTTACACCAAAGGGTTTACTGGCCGCGAAGTTTACTTAATTTTCACCAGTGATTTCACCGAATTCGATCCAACTCGGCCACAAGTCAACTCGGCCACAGTCAACTCGGCCACAAGTTAACTCGGCCACAAGTCAACTCGGCCACAAGTTAACTCGGCCACAAGTCAACTCGGCCACAAAAAGTTTGGCTACGTTCTACTCGGCCACAAGTCAACTCGGCCACAAGTCAACTCGGCCATCATCTCGGCCACAAGTCAACTCGGCCACAAGTCATTTACTGGTACTACATTGTACTAATTGTTATTATTATTGCTGTTATTATTGTTGTCATTGTTGTTATTATTATTGTTGTTTTTATTACCTTTAGTTTTAATACACTAATAATTATTAGTCTTAGCATTAACATTATATATTGTTCAAATTATTGCTGATATTATTATTATTACAGTACCATATAAATAATAAATAATTTTCGATTTTTTATTATTATTATTATTCATATTATTATTATTATTATTTATTAGTCTTAGTGTTATAACTTTAATAATAGTAATTTAAAAAGTTGTTGTTATGGGCGTTTTATTAGTATTTTTCTCATATTATTATTACTATTATTATCATTATTAGTTCCTATGCATGTAATGCAATAGGAACTATTGTAATCACTCTGTCACATTTCTTTTTTATTGTGTGTAGTATGTGTGTGCGTATGTGTGTAGACATTTATGCAAATGCGCATGCGTCAAAGAAAAGTTTTCCGACATTTTGTTTTACATCGCGATGCGAAGTTCGATGTGGATTTTCTGCAGAGTTCAGTCAGGGCTCACGCTAACCGATCGGCAAGTCGGCATGCATAAAACTATTTTGGTTTTACGGCAAAAAAAATCAACTGCTGTGGCATAGGTATTTTGAAGAAGGCCTAAAATAAAACAAAAAGATTTTAATACTTGCTGAAATACATCGTTTTTTTCATTTAGATCTCCATTTTTCACTAACTCCATGCGACGTTTATTTCTGTTGTATGTTGTATTATTATTATTGCTGTTGTTGTCAACTTTATTATCGATATTATTACCCTATTATTACTAAGTAGGCCTAGTATTATAAGTATTATTATTATTATTATTATTATTATTATTATTATTATTACTAATTAGTATTACTATTATTATAAAAATAAACATTATCTTTAATTTATTATTGTTGTATCATTGCTATTATCACCTTCAATATCGTTATTATCACTAATTAATTATTAAAATTGATATTTAAATATCGTTATTATTACCATACTAGTATTATTACTATTTGTTAAAATAAATATTACTATTAATGTTGTTGTTGTT